AACATCTGTAAAAAATCAAATTGGTGTCTCTTGGATGGCTGCGTTTAGGCATCATTATTTCATTATGTGAGGGATGAAGGTCTCCTCTCGAACACAGCGTAATTATTGCTGATGAAATGAAACGCTTTCCTGTCAAGCCTCTTGCGTTTGTGACATGTTTTGGCTTCAGCAGTTCAGGGTGGAGTCTTAGGGATGGGTACATTTTGGAGACCACACAATAAGTGCTAAGAGCAATCCTAATAGGGAGAGATTTACAAGTAAATAGGAGAAATCCAGCATCCAAGTAACATGTGCAGTAAATAAAGAGAGATGAATTATGTGTCAACTTGGGCAGAGTGGTGAGGCCCTTGTGCTAAGCCAGGGCAAGTTTATCTGTATAGCACAGTTATTTATTTATTTTTTTTTTTTTGTGTATTAATGGACAGCAGCCATTTTTTGACAAACACAAACACACAATAATGCAACTTTCACCTATTATACATTATTCCATATAGAAACCGGAGCAGACACGGGGAGAACATGCATCAGAGTTCTAAACAAAACAATATAGCAGTAAAATAAATCATGGCACATTGAAAAGAGTGAAAATACAATCCTTGAGCTAAACAGACCTGTTTTGGCAACGCAGCAAAGAGGTCCGGGATTTGATTCTACCTTGAGTTTCTGAGTGGCAACTGAATGTTTGTCCCCGTGTCTGTGTATGTTTCCTCCAGGTGCTACGGTTTCCCTTGCTGCTAAAATCATATGCAACAGTTCAGAATGAATGAGCGTTTGACTGTGAGTGCAACAAATGGAAATGAGTCCATGAGTCTCTGGTCTGCTTTGACGAGCACGTATCAACAGAATGTTTGACAATTGGGAGGACTATTAGTCTTGATGATGACCCGGAAGTAGGAAGACCTTTCAATTATATATAAAAATGAAAATGAACGATACAAATGATTAGAGATTGAAGAATGTATCCAAATGGACATGTTTTTCAACCTGTGTCGGGCCATTTGCCACTATAAGGAAAGAAAATGTATTGTCCTGCAAGAATCATCCACCTCTATCTCAGCTTATCATCTACAACACTACCCTCTGTGTAAAATGCGCAATATAAATAAAGATGACTTACTTACTTACTAAAAACTTTCCCTGAGGATATCAACCTTGGAACTGGAACATGGCAAGATAACTAAATAGACCTTATTTTTAACCCACACCAAACCAGGTTCTTGATATTTGACAGTAATACACCGTTATCTGAATTCCACCACAAACAAGAGAATCCAGATGCAACTTTAAGTCCATGTGCACCTCATTTAAAGCTGGGGTACCTTATTTTCAAACCACAGAAAATGTATCAACATTAATAAACTCAAGTGCCAAATAGTGACTCCCAGGGCTCTTTCTCGCAAGTATGCAAACGATAACATGTTTTCTAATCTAATGAAGACAGCATGTTGTGGTCTGCTTTGATCTCAACATTTTAAACTCTATGTTGGAATAAACATGTGTTATTCAGGAATGTAAAAACTTAGGTATCCCAGCTTTAAGCGACTCTATGGACAGCTTTGAGGGTTTTTGAGACCTGTGCTGCAGCAGATGTCGCCTGTTGCTTCCCAGGCTGGAGGTTGAAGACATTATCCGCTACTGCTCATAACACTTTCTCCAACAAGCTGCTTTTAAGAGGTTTTCTGTCTGGAAGTCTGCAGCTGGTGTCTGCCTGGATCCCAGTAAAGAATCATCGTCTGATTTGCCATGTTAAAATTCATGTATACATACAGTAAAATACAATCGAAAATGACTAGACAATGTAGTTTACTGGATATTGGTCAACTCCCGCTATGGACCAATACCTATGTGTTCCATATGTTTTGTGTTGATTCTCTGATCTGTGTTGGTGATTTCAATGGTTTTGTTAAGTCCTCTGAGGTAACTACTGTTGTGTTTTAGGGCTATACAACATAAAATTGAATTGTTGTGTGTGGAAGAGCATGAAATATTGCTGCTACTGGCTTGTTAGTTTGATACGCTCGCAGAAGTATCGTCTCTTCACTGCAAAAAGTAATGAAAAATAAAATTAAATTAAATTAAAAAATTAAAAAATTAAAATTGCTCAAATTTGGCAAAATGTGTGTTGATTTGAGCACATGACTGCCTTATAACAAGATTTGCTAATTTGGGACAAGCTAAATTATCTAGTTTTAGAAAGATACAAGAAATATTTTCCTTAGAATGAGAAAATAAAGCAACACTCCTTGAAATAAGACTAAATGGCTATTTCTCTTTGTCAGAATGTACTCAAATTAAGACAAAAAATCACTTGATTCAAGTTATGCTTACCTCATGTTGTATCATTTTTTGCAGTGTCGTCTTGTGTGACTTATTTAATTGTATAACCCTCACCTGACCCACGTCTAAGCATACACTGTACATGTATATAGATAGACAATGCTAACCCCTGCTATTAAGCCCAATAGGGAAGTGCTCATGGACAACGTTTTGCTCCAACTCGCACTGGTTCAACAACAACAACAACTCATCATCATTAATAGGAAACTTTTAAAAAAGGCTAAAATGAACAGTTATGTGTTTGCAGTTTTAAACAGGTGGCTTTTAAGCAGTGATTTGAATTTCTAAAGTGACACTGAGTTCCTGATGTGTTGTGGGAGTGAGTTCCATAGAACTTTGCAAATCCAGATGTGAGCCCGAACAACTGACCAGGAGCTTTCTGTCACGGAAGCCGACTTTAGCAGCGAGTAGCATGAGAGGAGACAGGCAGGAGTATCTCCTGATTCATGCTCTGTAACATTTACACACATTCAGCCCCATATGAGCTGCCTGTTCTGGAGGTTCTGTGTACATCCAGACTCTTGAATTGAGCTCTTAAAAAAAATCAATGACTTCTCTGGCCACACTGGAAAAGCCATGTTCCAGCTTCTTCTTTCTGGCTGATATTGTTCACCTTTTACAACATGCTGAACAGTTTGTTTCTATCGGCATATTAGGCCGTAGTCGCCTCAGCAAAAACACAGCAAAATAAAACTTAAATTAAAATGTTGTTGCCTACATGTCTTGAACTTTATAATATCAATCCTCTGGACACTTATTTTTTACACTGTTACTGTAAAGGTCTATTGTGTGAACTTTTTAGAATTTAATTACAATTGATGTATGCGTGCCTTTATATATATATGTCTATGACTATTTTTTATAACTCTGCACCGTATGCCAAAGCAAATTCCTACTTTGTGACTTCCTGTTACTTACAATACAATAACAATGACTTAATCTGCTCTTGTGAGGAGGACGGGGAATCATGCAAAAATGCTCAATCTTATACACGTTCTTGTCTGAATCGTTGAATTTGCCAGAAGCTGCCGATTGAATTTGCCTTTTTATTATCTAAATAAAAAATACCAGTTAAACATCCCGCTTTCTCTCATCTGCTTAATAACATCATGTTCGACACTACGCACACAAAGTCAAACATATAAAATAAAATAGTGTTGTATAATTATTTGTTAGTAAGCTTTGCAGATTCCCCACTTGATGTTTGACTGAAATCCCCCGCAGCTCCGGTTATTGTTGTGCGTGTGGATAAGCATATGTGTAGCCTGTTGGCAGCGAGGCACCAGCAGCAGAATAAAGAGCATTTATTTAGACAGCTTGTGTCTATGACAGACGGAATGCAGACCACAATCTCCAGGGGCTGGAGCGACTGAGCGTGCCCGATTGTGCACAGAAAAGCCCCGCGTTCGGATTGGGTTACGACCAGATTACGAGCCTCAAAACTGGTAGCTGCTTTGGCACTTTCCAGCCGCGGTCTTTTCACAGTCTAATACTGAATTTAACTTTAAAAGACGCGAGTTATCCCTGGGTGAGAGACAAAACATGCTAATGGGTCGACCTTTGGATTTAGAATGCGTCTGTGAGTAGTAAAGTTTCAAGAGATGACAAGCGGAGAAAGTCAGCGATGCCTGGGTCTTTGTCATGTTTTAAAGTTGGCGATTAAAAAGATAATACTATTTACTTTGTCATTTCGTGATTTTGAATGTGTTCAGTTTAAAGCAATAGGAAACTGATCTGAGTGTGATGTCATAGTGGTACAAGGGGCGGAGGTACATGTTTATGCCAAGTTCCAGATCTTGTGGAGTGTGGAAAGATCTAAAAACAACACCACGGCTGTTTTTGATGAAGGAAAAGTAAAGCTAGTAAAGCTCAAAAAAGTTGATTATTGCTTCCTTTAACACGCTGCTTCTGAAACACCCAGAGCAATCATTTTTACTGCTACCAATCAAACCAAGGAAATTCTAAGAAATTAGAATTATATAAGGGTTCTCCCTGCAGTAAACATATAATAACGACAATAATAATAGTGCTTTGGTTTTATATAGCGCTTTTTTGGACACTCAAAGACACTTCACATGTCATTATTCTTTCACTCCATTCACAGTGGTGATAAACTACTATTGTAGCCACAGCTGCCCTGGGGCACACTGACAGAAGCGAGGCAACCAGTATGTGCCACCGGCCCCTCTAACCACCACCAACCATTCACACACACACCAGACTCATTCTAGGCAATGTGAGGGAAGTGACTTGCCTAAGGACACAACAGCAGCTTGACACTTCACAGTCGCAGCCGCCCCACTGTGGCATCAGGTCTTGCCAGAGGTCTCCCATCACAGTACTAACCAGGCCCTACCCTGCACAGCTTCAGAGCTCTGCCGGGATCTGGCTTTTGAAAAGATTATTTCATACAAATAATGACTGCATAAAGAAACAGAAAAAGTAAAGTTATACTGAGTAATTACACTTCTAAAAGTCGCTAAATACACTGCTCTGGTTGTTCTAGTGTTAAAAGACAGTTATCCCTGAGTGAAAGACTAAACCTGCTGAAAGGCCGACCTTTAGACTGCATGTTTCTGATCACGTCTGTGAGTGTGTTTCAGCCGACCTAAAGCAGTTAGGCAAAGCCAGCGAGGCATGGGTCTTTTCTCTCTCATCTCTTAATGTCACTGGTGAACGGGAATGCGGTGGTGGGGATGCCTGTGGCTTTGGTTTCCTCCTCCTTGGGTCGCCAATATTATTTAATGAATCACTCGGGGTGGTTTAAAACAAGAGCAGACGGGACCCCCCCCCTTTGGCCGAACCCCCCAGAGAAAGTGGGCGACTGGACGCACTCCGCACGGCGCTCTCAGACCTCAGAATGGCAGGCTGCGAATGGCTTCACGCGACTTTTACGGCTACGGCTTCACACCAGCGATGTCATTTTATCTGCACCGGAGCTCTCTGTTCAGGATCAGAATCTCAAGTACAAAATCAGATGGACGCTGGCTGGCCTGATGATTTCCACAGACTGAAGTATCGGGAAAGAGCTGTACAACATCAGACCGACGGGAACTCGGATGGATGTTGAAATGATTTGTTTTGATGTACTTGTTTGCCGTGGTTTTAAAAGCCCACATGTATCAAATGTTTAAAAAAAAGACTGAAACGATATAAGAGTAAGACAACATATCCCTTGTGCTGCAACAACTGTGGGAAAGGTTGGTGTGTTGTTTGGACCGTGTTGCCTTTTTACCACCAGGGAAGACAGGAATGTGTCCAAATAACTTTCACAATAAGTTTGAGCAGGATCAGAGAGAAGGGCATTATATGGACTTAATCAATATCTTAGAGCATTTCTTATAAACATGTTCAAACATATAAAACATATAACACATAAAACATCTATTTATGTTTGAGGCTTAGAAAGTTTTTCTTTAAAGACAATCTTTACAGCATAATAAACGTTTGTATTAATCGAAGAACTTCTAAGCTTTAAACATAAAGAGGACAACTAACTTTTTTATTAGTATTTACACTCTTTGTCTTATCAGAGGAACCTCCAAAGCCTTATTTTAAAACATATTTCATACAAGCTACAAAGAAAAACACTGCTTTTTGTGGGGCTTTTTGTGTTCAAAAGCCCAAACGTTGATGGTAAGAGCGTCACTCTTGTTACGCTGTCATTATGCAAAGTGTTGTCCCTCCTGTGAGTGAGTCGTATTATAACCTTTTTATTATGACACTGACCTAGAAAACAGTTCTGCAAAACACTACCTTACAAAGTGGGTTGAATGGTGAGATGACCATCATGTCAGTGGTAATGAGGCTACATTGTTTAAGGGCAACGGATGCAATGGGAGAGTTAACCATAAACTTCCTTAATGTGATCGTTGCTTTATTTTTTTAGTCTAATGGCCACTGTTGTTTCAGTGTACATACAATATAATCTGGCCTCTTTGTGAATAAACAGTAAATTTAAACTGAGAAGATGTTGTGGCAGCTAGGGTTGGGCGATATGGGCCTCAGCATGTATCACGATTTTTGTTGGTATTTATCACGATATGACGATATGATAATTTGAACAAAGCCTCATATAAAAGCTATACAAACTTAGCACTGATCATTTTAAACACTTGCCTCAAAGTGCATTTACTGATTTATTGGCAGAAAAATGTGTAATACAGCTATTGTATATAAAACGTATTAACAAAACTGAATTGTAGAGAATTCTGTTTTGTACATACTGAAAATTGCAGGCAACATGTGATGAAGGTGAACATTTGTAATTTGTAAAATATATAAAAGTTTGTCCTTTGTAATATAAAAAGTGTAGCATTATCAAATAATTATTTGATCACTTTGGCTTATGTTTCCTAATCCCAATATAGTCAAAATGATCAAATACTGTATATATTTTTTGTATCTTTTGCGTTTCTATAATTATGTAATTATAACTTATTTGTAATTATATTGCAATGTAGACAAACACATGCATTGAAGTAAAATGAATGACAGTAAACAGTAAAATAAAGCTTACCAATGGCACTATGAGAGAGAGAGAGAGAGAGCGAGTGTCCGAAGCAAGCCACTCGAGTCCAGTTGTTTAGGGCAGCTGCTTTCACAACATTAGATCCACTGTCGATAGTTACACACAATTGCTTCTTTTTATCTAGTTCCCAAACTACTCCCATATGTTTGAGGTAGCTCCGCGTTTTGGCACAATGTCTTCTACAATCTGCATGTCTTCACCATGGTCTTCACCGCCGCCCTCAGCCATGTTTGCTCTCTGCTCTGTTGTTGTTGTCCCTGCACGCCGCTCTGCTACACGTGCCGCGCAGATGCGTCATCAAAGTGCGCCGCACACAAACGTGTCTTCCGCTCGCTGTTTTCAGTGTTAAATTATTGTTTTCACCGGTATAAGGCATTTTCTTATCATTTAATTTACTTATACCGGTATACCGGTACAAAAAAAATATCGCCCAACCCTAGTGGCAGCCAATCAGGTCGTTTCACACATGAAGATGGATTTGGTCGTAACACCAACAACACACGCCTGTGTTTGTCCACTCAGAACTGATCACAGCGCTTCATACAGAATGTGAACTTTGTAATAGGTTTGCATTGCATTATATAAATATGAAGGAGAATATAAAGTTAACAATGTCTCGGTGCTAACAGGAGCGTGACAGGGCTTTCATTGGAGGTAGTTTTATCGAAACTCAATTAATTAACGGCAAGAGTTGCAGAGCTTTGAGGACAAGCTCTCTAAAGGAAAGTAGCTTGATTTAAATTATTAATGAGCTCACCTCACACCAGCACAAGTACACACAACCAGCATAATCACACACAGCCAGCACAAGCACACACAACCAGCACAAGCACACATTGCCAGCACAAGCACACACAGCCAGCACAAGCACACACAGCCAGCACAAGCACACACAACCAGCACAAGCACACACAGCCAGCACAAGCACACACAGCCAGCACAAGCACACACAACCGGCACAAGCACACACAACCAGTACAAGCACACACAACCGGCACAAGCACACACAGCCAGCACAAGCACACACACCCAGCACAAGCACACACAACCAGCACAAGCACACACAGCCAGCACAAGCACACACAACCGGCACAAGCACACACAACCAGCACAAGCACACACAGCCAGCACAAGCACACACAACCAGCACAAGCACACACAGCCAGCACAAGCACACACAACCAGCACAAGCACACACAGCCAGCACAAGCACACACAATTCTCAGGTCAGTGCGGACAAGAAAACCAAAATAAAAATCTGCGATAGTTGTAGCCTGAAATCCAGTTGAAATCTGCTGTTCAATTTTGTGTGAAGCATGGCATCATTTCCATTAAATTAATATTTTCTCATATTTATATTTAGGGATACACATTCTTCACTTGGGGAGATGTGAAACCACCAGAAATCACATCAGAATTCTTTGTATTGCCATTGCCAAGTAACAGGGAGTCACAAACCATTAATTTTCTTTGGCTTTAAGAGAAAAAAAGTTATAAAAAGAGAAATACAAAAACAGACACAATCTTAACGGCACGGTGGCTGAGTGGATAGCACTCTCGCCTCTCAGCAAGAAGGTCCTGGGTTCGAATCCCGGTCGGACCAGGGCCTTTCTGAGTGGAGTTTGCATGTTCTCCCCGTGTCTGCGTAGGTTTCCTCCGGGTACTCCGGTTTCCCCTACCACTAAAAATATGTCCAATAGTTCTGGCATGCGCTTCCTGTACTGGCGACTCTGTGTGGAGTGAGAGACAATTGCCAAAATTAACAATTGTAAACCGCTTTGAGACTCAGATCTGCAGTGAAAAGGCGGTATATAAATAAAAACTTACTTACTTACTTACTTACTTAACACAAGTCTGCAATGCAAATACACATCACATCACAATAGACCAATAGACTCTAGTCCATTCAACAGCAGTCGTCTCGGAGGAAAAGTTGTCAATTCAGACACAACAGATCAGAGAATCAAACCGTTTGAACACAGGAAATGCAATAATAACAAACTCATAGAAGCCATTGGTCCATAGAGAACGGGATCACCACTGTCTGATATTTTAGCTTATGATCAGCCCTTTTTTTGTGTGCAAATAACTAACTTGAATGCAGTCTTTGCAATCTCAAGTCAATTCAATCCAATTTTATAGCCCTAAATCACAACAGGAGTCGTCTCGGAAGGACTTAAGAAAGTTGTCGATTCAGCAACAACAGAACAGATTTGCTAATTGCGACCCCGAAAGTTGCGTTTTTGATCGTGCAAATCCAACAGACCGACTTTCTTACATTGATAAAGTTGACAACAATCCATAAACCAGAAATACATTTAAATACTGACTCTCAAAACGTCTCAAAGTTTCTCACTCATTGATTTCCTGTATGACAAACGTTAGCGGCATTGTTTATTCCGATACAATATTTTCTATTCTTCCCCGCACTCAGCCTCTCATCACCACATTCATTAGACTCTTTGTGATTTCGGGCGGTGAACTCCCTCTCATCTGCAGAAGGAGGGATAATGCGAGGCGACACAGCCCATCGGTCTGGACCTTCCCGTTTGCATGACTGACTCAGCTCTGAAAACTGTGTTGTTGCTAATGAGGCGGCCCGAACACAAGATAAAGGGGAAAGAGGGAAACGCGCGGACAAATTCTGCGGTTTATCAATAACAAAAACAACAAAGTGGAGGAAAAGGTTAGGTGACTGTTTGTGTGAGGAGAATAATTTCAACACAATTCAAGCCAATAGAGTTTTAGGGGGAGGGTAAGAATGTGTCGTGGCTATTTATTTAAATGTAGGTTCTCGAAAAGGCAAAACAATAAACAGCGACATAGGGTTTGAAAAGTGCGTCAGGCGAAGCAGACACTTATTTGGCCCTGACCCCTCTCGAGTTTTGATGGTTTGAAAAGATGGAAAACGTGTATGAACAATATATGATGGGTCTTTCTTTGTCTGTCAGGGCTCAATTCAAATCCATTTATTTTTGTATAGCCCTAAATCACAACTGCAGCTGTCTCGGAAGACTTCACAAATTCCTCAACTGCAGATTATGATCACAGTAATAGCAAATCCCATAGGAGCCATTGGTCCATAGAGGACTGGGGGTCGCTAAATCTCGCCCCCACTCTGTCACCTGTGGGGTCCCCCAGGGCTCCGTGCTCGGTCCCACCCTCTTCACCATGTACATGCTTCCCCTCGGGTGTGTCGTCAGCAGGCATGGAATTCACTTCCATTGCTATGCTGACGACACACAACTTTATCTCAAAGTCACTCCATCCGCCCCTCCCTCTGCATCTCTCTCCTGTCTTACCTCCTGCCTGGAGGAGATAGGGGCATGGATGAGGCAAAACTTCCTGCAGCTGAATGGCTCAAAAACAGAAGCCATTCAAACTGGTACTCCCCATCAACTTCACTCTTCTCCCATCACCTCAATCTCTCTCTTTGGCCACAGCATTCCCCTCTCTCCCTCTGTAACCAATCTCGGGGTCAAG